TGGATGAAAAGACAAGCTACAGACTGGGAGAAAATATTTATAAACCACAAAAGGTGCTTTACATATTCGCCGAGTCCCAGCCCGAACCGATTTGTAAATCCACAAAAGGACTAGTATCCAGAATATATAAAGAACTCTCAAAACTCAACAATAAAAAGGCAAATTATCAAATTAGAACATGGGCAAAAGACATGAGCAAACATTTCACTGAAGAAGAAACACAGATGGCAAATAAGCACATGAAAAGATGTTCAACATTAGCCAGCAGGGGAATGCGAATTAAAGCCACAATGAGATATCCCTACACACTTATCAGAATGGCTTGGAAAAAAAAAAAGAAAAGTGATAACAACAGCAAATGCCGGCAAGGATGTGAAGAAATGAGGTCATCATACATTGCTGGTGGGAATGTAAAACGATACAGCCACTCTGGAAAACAGAGTGGCAGTTTTTAAACTAAACATACAATTACCATATGACCCAGTAGTTGCACTCCTAGACATTATCCCAGAGCAGTAAAGATTTATGTTCACACAAAAACCTATACATGAATGATTATAGCAGCTTTATTCATCACAGTCAAGAACTGGAAACAACCCAGGCATCCTTCAGTGAATGTGCAAAATAAACTGTGGCACATACGTTCCATGGAATACTATTTGGCAGTGAAAAGGACAAAGTAATGATACTTGCAACAGCTTGGATGGATCTCCAAAGGATTATGCTGAGTAAAAAAAAAAGCCAGTCCCCAAAGATTATGTACTTATGATTCTAATTTTAAAACGTTCTGGAAATGACCAAACTATAGAAATAGAGAACAGATTAGTGGTTGCCAGGGGTTAAGGAGGGGTGAGAGGGGGAGGGAAGTGAGTTTGGCTATAAAAGGGCAACAGGAGGGATCTTGTGTGATGGAAATGTTCTGTATCTTGACTGTTTCAATGTCAACGTGCTCGTTGTGATATTGTACTCAGTTTTGCAAGATGTCACATTGGGGAAACTGGGTAAAGTCTCATGGATTCTCTCCGTATTACAACTTACAACTGCATGTGAATCTTCAAATATCTCAAAATAAAAAGTTTAATTAAAAAAAATTTGGGTGACAGTACTGCAGACAGAGAGTGGATTGGGCAAAAATTAGGAGAATGAGAGAATGAAGAAGTTTCAGAAACCCCACTCCAGACAAGATGATTTTTTTATTATGAACACTCTTTTGGTGCTTGCTGTTGGCCAAAACTCCTCCAAAGGTTACTGGTGGTGAAAAGACTTTGCTGTGATGGATCAAGTGCTGGGGGCTTTATGAGCTGTGGTTTGAAGCAAAGCAGGTGGGCTCAAATTTGGAAGGTGCATGGGGGAGGTCAGGAGGTCAAGACCCAGGCCAGCTTGGCTGGCAGGGACAGGTCGAGCACGTCCACCTCCTCCCCTGGCCGCGTAAGACTGGTTAGCTCAGGCCCACGGCAGAGGCTGCTGGGAGTCCCTGGGGCTCCCTTGGTGGCCACCGGCATGACAGTGACCTCTCTGGGAAATGTTCAGGGGAAGAGAAACAGCCCCCTAAGAAGTTCCGTGGGCAAGACTAGGCCAGGCTGAGGCCCAGTGTCTAGGAGGCAGGGGCATGGACTCCATGGGTGAGTGCTGTGGTCCTTGGGCCCTAGATAGCTTGGAGGAAGCTTCTCTAGAGTGGGGTTTCCTTTGAAGAAACCTGGACAGGGGTTGGACTGGGAGGCATTTTCATTTTTTAGGATTTCAGTTGTTTAGGTGTGGCCTTTTGTTTAGTTTTGTATATTTGGTGTAAAGCAGTGGTTAGGGTGCATTAGAATCACGTAGGGGCTTGTTAAAACGCAGATTTCTGGGCACCACTAGAGATTCTGATTTTGCAGGTCTGGGCTGGGGCAGGGAATTTGCATTTCTAACAAGTTTCAAAGTGATGCTGATGCTGACCCTTCACTTTGCAAACCACTGGTGTGGAAGGGTGCAGACAAGAAAACCAGTAGGGTGACACAGTCCCTCCTCTGGGGAGGCCCTAGGCAAAGTCCTCATCCCTGCCTGGCACAGCTGGGGAGGGCTGTGGTTTGTGATTCCAGCAGGGCCATGACAGGACACCTGCGCAGGACTGAGGGGCAGTGAGGAGAGTGTGTGTGCTGGGAGGTGATGGAGGGCAACGGGGCTGGCACTTGAGGGCAAAGTCTCGGGGTGGGGGGGGGAGGTAGGATGGGAGTACTGGGTGTTTTGAGGGCGGTGAGGAGGCCAGGGGAGGAAGGGGAGGCTGCAGACTGCTAGGGGAGCTTACAGGCTAGGAGAGAGGCGCGCACGAAGCTTCAGGATTGTGGGGGGGTGGGTGGGGCGATAAGGATGTCACTGGGGGTCCTGGCTAGGCTGTGGACGGCCCCGGAAGTCCTGTAGGGGATAGGGGAGCAGTGGATGTGTGTATGATTCCTGTAGAAGTTGTCGGGGTGGTGGTTGAGATCTGGAGGCTGGGAGCTGATGTCGTGTTCAGCTTTCAGGGGCTGAGAGGCGAAGTGAGATTGGAATCTGGGGCCCAGGTAGGGGCGGTGAGGCTGAGCTGGGGTACCGAGGGCTACCTGAAGGGGCCGCGGAGGCGAGCTGGGGATGGGGACGGGGGTTGGTTGGGGGACGGGGAGGGAAAGGAAGCCGGGACGGAAGCCCTTGTCCCTCGGCTCGGAGGAATACGGCGGGGGCGGGCCGCCCAGGGTGGGAGTGCCGCGCCGTAGGGGAGGGGCGGGGCGGGGCGGAGTGGCTGGAGCCGGGCCGCAGGGCAGCGCCGCCGAGTCCCAGCCCGAACCGAGCTGGGCGGCTGCACCTCCCTCGCAGTCCCCACCTGGCGCCGGGCGCCGCCACCGCTGCCGCCGCCGCCCCGCCGGCCCGCCGCCCTCGCCGGCCGCGCCGTGACGCGGGCATGAGTCTGGCCCGCCGCCCGCCAAGCCAGCGCCCCCAGCAGGGGCCGCGGCGCCCAGGTAACTAGGGGGGCGCGAGGAGGGGAGGGACCTTAGGCCGCGCCGGAACTCTCGAGACCCTCGGCTACTCCAGCCTGAGAACTCTCCAAGCCCGTGGGACCTTCCTACCCTGTGGGGGGCCTCAGGGGTCCACCTCCAAAAGCCAGCCCGGCCCCTGAAAACTACCCCCTGAGCTCCACCTACCCCCAGCTCTCCTCTCCAGGGGAGCCCAGGTCGGGGCCTGACCTCACGCCTACCCCACACTCACTCATCGGAGGAGCCCAGGTCCCTGTACTCCCTGGCCCTGGGCCTGCCATCCCGAAGGGGCATAACCCAGCGCATCACAGCCCCCATCCTCCTCCCACCCTTCCTGCTCCCATGGCCTCTTGCTCTCTCAAACCCCACCCCCAAATTCCAACACTTTCTCCATCTGCCCCCCTACTGCCCACCCTACCTGCAAATGGTTCCTACCCTACAACTTAAAGGAGGAGCCAGCTGCCTCCTTTCCTTGATTCTTCTTCCCTGGTCCTGGGGTCCTGTCCACTTTCTCTCCCAGGACACCCGAAGCCCTGCTTCCAGTTAAATGCTTTCTGTCACTGCAGAGGTGTACGAGCGGAGCCTGGGCACCTGGGTGATGTGGGCAGAGCAGGGCCTCTGTGCAGTCTCCCTGTCCCCAGCCGTGGGTGCGTGGCAGTTGCCAGGAGACTTGGATGGAGCGTTTCAGGTGTAGGGGGCTGAGAGTGGAGGGCAGTGACAAGCCTGGCAGGGTTCACAGCAGCAGGTCGAGGCTGGGCTTATTTATTTAGTGCAGATTCCTTTCTTGCCCCTTTTAGGGGATGTGGCTCCAGTGCAGGCCATTCCTGTTCCCCACCTGGGATGGGTCTCAGGAGCTGTGTCCCCTCCCGCCCAGTTGCCTGCCCCTCTGAGCCTGGGCACTGGCTACTTCTAGCTCTTCCCTCTCAGGCAGGGCAGCAGAGCTGGGCATGACCTCATCCAACAACCGAGGCCAAGGTGGGGCCACCTGGCCAGGCCTGGACACAGTGTCAGCAGTGCTGTCTCCTCCCGGGATCAGCTTTGAACCAAACCGTGGGTCTGGGGCCCAGGGAGGTGGGAACCCACTGCTGCTCACACGTCTCTGGAAGTTGAGCTGGGTCTGACCAGGTGGATATTGATGGTGGTGGGAGAAAGGATGAGGAGAACAAGTCCTGGAAATAATTATGTTTTCAGTCCCCAAATACCGAGCACCTACGCCACACTAGGCACCATTCTAGGTGCTGGGATGGAGCCATTAACTAGACAGACACAGGCTAGCCATCAGGAAGCTGACGTTCTAGGGCGCTGTAGGAGACAGAGAGTGGCCGAGTAGCAAATCAGCAGATGAAGAGGCAAACCCTATAGTGATATAGGGGGACAGTGAAACTGGGTGTTACGATAGAGGCTGATTGGGGAGCTCCTTTGGCCAGCATGGTCTGTGAAGACCTCTCTGAAGTGACGGTCTTTGAGCTGAGACCTGAATGATGCAGTAGAATGAACCTTGGACCATCTGAGGGAATAGAGTTTTAGGCAGGGAACAGCAAGTGCAGTGATCCTGCGTGCGTAGGAGTTAGGCATGTTGAAGAACAGAAAGAAGGCCAGCCCCGGGGGAGATGAGGCTGGACGGGTGGGCAGGCAACCTGGAGAGAGCGGAGTGGCAGTGGTGTGGAGACACAGCACCACTTTCCTAACTGGAGGGCTGTTCAGATGTCCTCTCCTCCCGCCAGTCTTCTCTGCCCAGTTCTTTTTTTTTTTAATAATTAATTCATTATTTATTTTTGGCTGCGTTGGGTCTTCGTTGCTGTGTGCGGCTTTTCTCTAGTTGAGGCGAGCGGGGGCTACTCTTTGTTGCGGTGCGCGGGCTTCTCATTGCGGTGGCTTCTCTGTTGTGGAGCACGGGCTCTAGGCGCATGGGCTTCAGTAGCTGTGGCTCGTGGGCTCTAGAGCGCAGGCTCAGTAATTGTGGCTCATGGGCTTATTTGCTCCACAGCATGTGTGATCTTCCTGGACCAGGGCTCGAACCCGTGTCCCCAGCATTGGCAGGCGGATTCTTAACCACTGCGCCACCAGTGAACCCCCACCCCCCACCCCGTTGGTTTTTGATCTGTCTTTGCCACCCATCTTGGGACCTGCAGTGTTTCAGGTGGTGGTTGCTTGTGGGGATTTGCATAGGTGGAGGTCAGGGGTGGAGCCGTCTGGGGAGGGGATGACCTCCTCCTGGCCCCTGATAATAATCACACAGGGGTAGAGAGGACCAGGCAGGTGATGGGAAATGACCCTCACACCAGAGAGAATCCCGCCAATGGGATCTTTGCGGGGGGTGGAGACAGCGAGCCGTCAGTGAGACGGTGTCCAAGTGTCCAGGTAGGGCTGTCCCTGAAGCCCTGATAAGATCCGATCTGTCATGGGGTGGGGAGGCCCAGCCAGGCAGGCAGCCGCTCCTGCTCAGTCATTGGTTGCTAACAGCAGCGGGTAGCGTTTGTTCTGGAGCCAAAGCCTCCAGGCAGAATCGAGGTGCAGGGAGGGGTGCTTAGACGGCTGCCACATGGGGCAGGTGAGCAGGGGGCCGCTCCCCACCCCTCTGCTGGGCACCAGGGAGTCTCATGCCCCCTCCGCACAGGACACCTGCCCTTCCTGGGAGAGGGGGGGCTCCTCCTCTTTCTGGAGGAGCTAGCGGTGGCCTGGTCCAGGGCGGGGACGATCTCTGGTTGAGCAGCTGCTTCGATGCCAGGTTGGGAGGAGGAACGGGGGTCCCTGCTCCCTACCGCAGTGCTGAGGGGGCTGCTGGGCGTCCTGCGTAGCCCCTCTGGGTGCTCAGAGCTAACCTTGCACACCTGAGACCACGGGCCTTTTCCCCTGCTCTAGGCTCGTGAGAGGCAGAGCTGGTGGTTGTTCAGGAGTGATGGGGAAAGTGGCCCCAGGTGCAGCAGGGCGGGGGCTGCCTTCCCAGTTCCTGGCCTGCTGAGCTCAGCTGCTCTCCGTCCCTTGATGCCTCATTGGGTCCGCACAGGCTCAGCCTGGGGGCCGTTTCTGTTGCTTAACACAGTGCAGTCCCTTTGGGGCATGGGTTGGCTCTGGGTGCCCCCTCTCACCTTGTCCCCATTGCCCATCAGATTTGTGAGTCTACCTATTGGCTCTTCCCCCTCTCTCCCTCCTCCCCAACTCCCCTTTGCTCTACCACTTTGGGCCCCAGCGTGGGTCTTGCTCTTGCATATTCATTAGGGACTGAGTAAGGTCAGCACCACCTGTGACTCCAGGCCAGTGTGGGCTGCCAGGCCCTTCGACACCCAGGCTTCCCCTGGAAGGTTGCTCTTCCCAGTGGTTTGTCTCTGTGGGTTTATTTCTAGGGCATGGGGTGTGGGACTGTGGACAGACACGGCACAGGTGCTCCTGAGAGCTTGGTGATGGCAGTCACTCAAGGGGTGCTGCTGAGAAGGTAACTGGTGGAGCCAGGAAGGAGCAGGCCTGCGCTGGGCAGGTGGAAGGCTGAGTTAGGGTGCTTTCACAGCCCTCGGCTGGGCAGCAGCTCTCGCAATAAAAACAGCCCTTGGGGTTTTCAAGGCAGAAGCTCTGGGTCCAACGTGGGCAGGCAGGTGCCTCATAGATTCATTTCCTCATTTAAAATAGGTGGATTTATCCTCAGTTTTTTTTTAACTGGTGGGGAAATTGAGGCGCTGAGGAGTTAAATGGCTTACGCGGGACCACCTGCCAGTCGATTCATGTTCCTGGCTGGGCCACGTCTATGGCTGCCTTGGATGAACCAGGGGCCTTGCTGTAGGTGTGTTCTGAAAGGGGCCTTCCACGCTGCGGCCCCTCAGCCAGCAGCCAGCCAGCTGGCATCTTGGAGGGGGCTTTTACGGAGCTGGTCCTCGCTGTGGGGACAAGGCAGCCCCAGCTGGTAGAGGCAGAGCTGGGAAAACTTACCCTTCTTTGAGTGCCAGCACCCAGGTATGGCAAGGATGTTGGGGGTCAGTACTAGGGAGGGTACCCCACGCTAGACCTTATAGGAGGAAAGCAGACCACTTGGGTGTGGAAGGGTCTTGGCCCCCAGGGAGCTGGGAGAGAGCGAGTAGATGGGCAGGGAGGCCACTGAGGGGTGCTGAAGAGGCTCTTGGGGTACAAGGGGCATAGGGAGCACTACCGTCTGTCCCTCTGCCTGTTTTCGTGTGCTCACTGGGGTAGTCACATCTATTCCTTGTTAGGGACTCGACAGGCCTCCAGAAGATTAATTAATGCCAAGCTGCTGGCAGCTCCAGCAGGATGCTTGCCCCAGGGCCCTGTCCTGGCAGCACAGATGCCCAGCTGACCCCAGAAATACTGCTCCGTTCCCACCCAGCAATCCTGGAGACACGGGGGGCCATGTTGCTGGCACAGCCCTGCCTCTGAGCCTGGATGGCAGAGAAGGCTTAGGTGGTGGCAGGCCGCCAGAGCCATGTGGCGGGGCATTCCACCCGCAGGCCTGCCTCCATCTCCCACTCTGGAACTTATTTGTCCCTGGCTGAACCATGGGCTTGCTGTGTGACCTTGGCCGTGCTGCTTATCCCCTCTGGGCAGCTTTCTTTTCCCCAACTGTAAAATGATGTAGAATGGATGTTGGACTGGGTCATCCCTGAGACACCTCCCCCCTAAGTCTGAGTCTTCGTTATCTGGTAATCTGCCTGATTCTGAGAGCCCCTGATGGCACCCCTTTTCCCGATGCATATTGGCTGCCCCTTGGTGCCCCTCAGTGTGGTCCAGCTTTGTCCTCTGCCCCAAGCCCAGGTGATTGCTAGTTCTCCATGTAATTAACTCCTGCCTGTGCTCAGGATGTGGGGCACCGCAAGTCCTGGCCAGACCCAGTGCCCTCACAGACCAGCCTGACCTTCCCAGCGCCAGGGCGAGGTGACTGCTTCCACAGTGGCCACCTCCAGCCTGCCCAGCACATTCCTCAGGCTTATCTGAGAGCCCGCCCCACTGGACTCTGCCCTCCCACCCAGGAAGCAGCACCCAGACGAGCTGCTGAAGAGTTCCAGGGGCAGAGAGCAGGGCCTGAGTGGGCTTGAGGTGACGATTCTCAGCCTCTTGCCTGGAGCTGAGGAGAACCAGGTATAGAACGGGGTGGGGCAGAGGGATTGGGGGGTCTGCTGAGACTGACAAGGCAAGTTGTCTAAGCTCGGGGAGCATGGGTCCCAGAATCTGTGCCATCTCCCAAGAGCCCCATCTCTGGGAAGGCTTTCCCGCGTGGAGCCTCCTGTGCACAGGAGGGGGGCTTGCTCTAAGTCTACCCCTAAGCTGTAGCAGGAGATAGGGCCCGACAGCAGCTCGGGGCCACCTCCTTTCCTCTGCCCGCACCTCCACAGCAGGAGCCGGAGCCAGTCCTCCCAGGAAGGGGTTAACCGCCAGCCCCAGCCGTGAGGGAGGGGACTGGGCTGGACCATTTTCCTCGTAGCTGCCTCCACCTCGGTTTTCCTGAATGGTTCTGTCGTCCTGGGGTGGGGAGGGAAGGGAAGGAAGAAGGGCGGGCTGAGGGAGGAAGGGAGGGAGGAGTGTGGGAAGAGGAAGGAAGAAAGAGCGAGACAGCCAGGGGAAGAGAAAGATGTCACTGTGTAATCTCCCTGTCAGTTTTACTTCCAGCAGGCTCCGGGCGAAAGAGCTGCTAGAACAATGCTGAGGCAGCCCCGACGGAGTATCTCGAACAGGTGATCGGAGGAGCCGGGAAACCGAGGCCACCTGGGCATCCCTCCCCTCGCCTGGGCCGGCCAGAGCCTCAAAGACGGTGGAGAAACCATGGCGACCAATTTCAACGACATCGTCAAGCAGGGCTACGTGAAGATGAAGAGCAGGAAGCTCGGGGTGAGCCACCTCCAGGGGGCCCTGCCAAGGAACTTGGGCTGGCGCCTGGTGGCGTGTCCGGGGTGTGCGGCTGCCCGCCTGTGGCCCGGCATCGTGCATTGCTGGTCTTGAGGCTTCTGGCCAGCGGGCTGCCCAGCATGTGCCTGGGCCCGGCTCTGCCTGCTGCAGCTCCCGCCCCAGCCGGGCTGGCTGGCTGGCATCCCAGCGGCTGGGCCAGCGGTGGCAGCCGATGGGCAGGCGGCTCCCCTGCTATTGTTGAAGTTGTCGCCAGGGCAGCGGCTGGAAATGCCGGGCTGTGTCTGAGCTGAGACCGGCTTCTCACTTCCCCTTGCCATCACCTCCTCGTTTCCTTCCTCCCCTCTCCTGGCCTCTTTGCTTTTAAGTACCTCATCTCCCCTGCTTCCCATTGCTTTCTGTGTACGGGCGTTTATTTATTTATCTTTGGTGGTTGCTTTTCCAGTTAAAAAAAGCATTTGAGAAGGAGAGTGGTTGGTTGCTGGGGGGAGGGCAGTGGTGGGAGGGGTGCAGAAGCCGGTGTTTACGTGGTTTATGAGAGAGAACCTGGCTGGACTGGATGGCCCGTGGCACTGGGACAGGCTGCTTTCCTCCCAGGTGTTGGAGGTGGCTGGGGGCTTGGAGGGCCTGTGGAGATGAGGCCTCAGACACACCTCTGCTGGGTGTGCACCCTCTCCCACCCCGTACTGCTGGAAACCGCCCAAAAGGCATGAGCAGGGGCCCCGGGGACCAATTTAATAATCTTGGTGAGATTGTCCCGAGAGCGGGCTTTATTCCCAGACCCTCCTCCCTCCTCCAGTGAGGGGTCTCCCCAGTAGAAAGAAAACCCTGGCGACTGAGGTGGCCCAAGTCTTGTGTTTTACCTGGGTCCCCTGCCCTTCCGTTCCCCCCTCCCCCATGGCCTTGATGGGGTGGGGGGATCCGACCGCTCAAGGCTTCCTGGCTCAGCTGAGTGGGGTGGGGGAGGAGCAGGGCTCTGATACTCAGCTTCCCTGCCCAGAGCAGGACTGGCCTTGGAGCAGGGCGGTTCCTGCACCTCCTTCCCCTCCTGTGCCCTCAACCCCCAGGGCCCCTGCGGGAGGCTCTTCTGTCCCGGCAGGAGGCGGCCGCTTAGCTGGTGGGCATGTTTGGGGTCTTAACTGGATTTGGACTGTATCCCAACCTGGGCCGTGGTGGCCATCGGCCACCTTGTTCTTGCCCTGAGAGAAGGATGGAGCCCACTTTGCGCACAGACCAAGGAGAAGAACTAAGGCTGAGGTGGGGAGGCAAGGGGGTGGGGGCCCAGGTTCTAGTGTGGTGACTCGTTCCTGAGGGCCCAGACCTGTCAGGTCCCCAGGGGCCAGCTGGGCTGCGACCCTGTCCAGAGCAGAGCTTCCCAGGAAGGCAAGCCACTTGGGGTGGCCGCTTGGGCTCAGAACCAGGCCTGTTCCAGGGGCAGGCCTGGGAACCCATGGTGGGCACAGTCAGGGGGAGGGTTTAGCGGCTGGGGCGTGGCCAGGCCCGGTCTGGAATCGCCCGCACTCAGGGAACCCGGCTTCCCCCTGCAGACCTGCTGTGAGGGGCTGCGGCCACCCAGCTGCTCTTGTCCCGGGGCAGCCATTCTTGCCTCAGCCCACAGAGGCGAGGCGGTAAGGGGTGGAAGAGATCAGGAGCAGATCGTCCTACCTGCCAGGGCTTTCCTCCCAAGGCAGAGCTCTGGCAGAGTGTTTCTGAAGCGCTGATCAAAGACCTATGAGAAGTGGGGAAGGAGGGCTCTTGAGCGCAGTGGCTCCCTGGGGCTCTGTGTGTGCGTGCTGCGTGTGCGTGCTGCATGTGTGTGTGTGTGTGTCCTGTAACCAGGCAACCGGAGTGCTCAGGCCCCCAGGACTTCTGCCCCTGCCTCTGCAGACGGCATGGAGCCCATCCTGGCAGGGCATATCTGGGTCGGCAGCATTCGTGCATTCATCCATCCATCCACCCATTCATTCACGGTCCCTTCATATTATCATTCACTTGTTCAGCAGAGGTCTGTTAACGAAGCGACTGGGATGTGAGGATCTGAGAATAAAATATAGTCTCTGCCCTAAAGGAGCTCCCCAGCTGAGAGCTGAGGCCTGCTGGGGTTTAGGTGGATAGACCAGGGGCTGAGCCAGGGTCATGGGGGCAGGGACAGACATGTCTCCTAGTCTCAGGGGCCAGAAATAGCCTGGTTGTGAGTAGCTTCTTGGGATGGGGACTGCCTGAGCCCACTGCACCCCGGGATCCTGCCTGCCAAGGACCTGGTACCCACACAGCAGGGCAGAGAAGGGGAGGGGGCTTTAGCCTGTGGCCCAGAGGACCCTTCGCCTCCTCTGCTCTGGGCCCCTCAGTCTCCCCACTGTTTGCCAGTGAGAGGAGCACTGGAGATTCCCGGGGAATGGCTCTGCCAGGCTTCTGGAGTGCTTGCTGAAAGAGGAGGTACATCCCAGCCAGACTTTGGGCTGGAAGAGAGTCTAAGGTGGGAGGGAGGGGGCCATGGGAGGAAGAGTCAGCAGCCCAGGCAGGTGGCTAGGGCCACCCCTTTGTGGGAGGTTATCTGACAAGCCAGCTTGCCCCTTAGGCCCGGAGAGTGGTTGGCTTCCTGCTCCCTGGCTCTTGCCTCTTGGATGGAGTCCGTGAAGCTACAGAGAATTGGGGTGGATTTAGGTACAGGCAGTGGTTGGGACAAGGAGGGAACCTTGCCCGGGAAGGCACCGTGCTCTGGGGTAACCCCAGTTTCTTGGCTCTGCCCCTTGACCTCTGAGAGCCTCTGGTTTCCCAGCTGGAACAGGGAACTAACCCTGATTCCCTACACTCCAGGGTTGGTCAGAGAATGAAAAGAGAGGGTTAGTGAAAGGTCCTAGAGACAAGAGGGGGTGTCACCCACATCAAGAGCCCTCCCCCAGCTCTAAGAACAAGGGCCACGGTGCTGTGCAGGCTGGGACCGGGCAAGGGCCTAATCCCTGTCCCCGCAGCACTGCCTCTGTCGTGGCGGGTGCTCCTGGGGCCCTGGGCAGAACCTTAGCACAGCGGGCTCCCAGGACAGCCCTGGTTCTAGGCAGCCTGTTTTAAATACCAGCTCTACCATTCATTAGCTGTTACTCAATTTTGGGGTGCCTCATTCCCTGTCTAATAAAGTGGAGATGATAATAGAAGCGACCTCAAGAGTGACCCTGAGATTAAATGTGAAGAGTGCTAATAACAAAAAGTACAAATAGGAAGCACTCCATGGACGTCGCTACTTACGCCACACCCAGAGCTGAGCTCACAGCAAACAGCGACTCAGGAGCACCCTTTATGGAGCAGCCTCCAGAGCCAGCCAAGAAATGACTGACTTTTCAACTCGGGGAGGGTCCTCTTCCCCAGGGCAGGGTGTCATGCTGGTGTCAGCTGTCCCCAGATCTCTTGGGCCTGAGCTCCCTGGAAGGCTGTGCGGCACTGCCCGCTGTGGTAGGCAGGGGTAACTCCAGGGTCACCGGCTGCCTTGGGGGTGGTCCGGGGTCTGATCCCCCTGCCATCTTGTCCCACAGATCTACCGGAGGTGCTGGCTGGTGTTCCGGAAATCCTCCAGCAAGGGGCCCCAGCGGCTGGAGAAGTATCCAGATGAGAAGTCAGTGTGCCTCCGAGGCTGCCCCAAGGTTAGGGGGCCCGGGCCCTAGCTCTCCCAACCTGTAAGCAGTGAGGATTTGTTCAGAGTCCTGAGGGCCAAGAGGACCCTCCTGGGGGTGGCAGAGCCGTGGGGGATGCAGAGGGAGGTGCTTCAACCTGGCCGAGTACCTTGTGGATGCTGTTCCAGGTGACAGAGATCAGCAACGTCAAGTGTGTCACACGGCTCCCCAAGGAGACCAAGAGACAGGCAGTGGCCATCATATTCACCGATGACTCGGCACGTACCTTCACCTGCGACTCAGGTGAGGGGATGCGGCTGCAGGCTGTGGGCTGGTCAAGGTCCACTGCCTGGGTATGATGTGTGGGTGGAGGGCACCTTTGAGGGAACAGCCCCAGGGTGAGGTGGGGCAGGCACGCAGAACCCACTGGCCTTGCCCCCTCTGCCTGGCGGGGTGGGGTAACTCCGGCTGAAGCAGATGGGGTGGGTTGCTGCGGGCCCCTGAGCTGGCGGCACGAAGAGGGACTATCTTCTCCAGAGCTGGAGGCAGAGGAGTGGTACAAGACTCTGTCTGTGGAGTGCCTGGGGTCGAGGCTCAACGACATCAGTCTGGGAGAGCCGGACCTCCTGGCCCCAGGAGTGCAGTGCGAGCAGACAGGTGAGGCCTGGCGCTGGCACAGGGTGGGGGTGAGAGGGAGACCCCCCCAGGCCCCCCACAAAGCTCCAGGCCCACTTGTCCACTCCCATCCAGATCGCTTCAACGTCTTCCTGCTGCCCTGCCCCAACCTGGATGTGTATGGCGAGTGCAAGCTGCAGATCACCCACGAGAACATCTACCTCTGGGACATACACAACCCCCGCGTGAAGCTCGTCTCGTGGCCCCTCTGCTCCCTGCGCCGCTATGGCCGGGATGCCACACGCTTTACCTTCGAGGCTGGCCGGTAGGACCCACTCGCCTCCCCGCCGTCGCACCGCGGTCATGATGGTAGCTGCCATTCACTGTGTCGGGCACTGTGCTGGAAGCTTAAGTTATTTATCAGCACAGCATGCTGACGGGGAACCCATTTTACAGATGAAGAAATTGAGACTCACAGCAGGTAGGTCAAGTGAAGCTGTTTACCAAGTCAGACTGCTCAGGCTCTGATCAGATGCTGGCACTGGCATTGACTAGCTCTGTGATTGTGGACCCGAGTCTCAGTTTCCTCCTCTGTCAAATAGGGGATAATAAAAGTACCTAACCTCATAGACTGGGTTACGGTAAGGACTGAGTATAGCTTGCCTAGACTCAAGTTCTGTATAATCCACTGTGTAACTTTCGTCGTTACCTTCTGAATGCCTCAGTTTCCTCATCTTTAAAATGGCTTGAGAAAAATTATAATAACGAGGAAACTGTAGTAGCACACAGACCAGAGTGGGGTGGTGGGGAAAACGGAATGGATTAATCCTTGTAAAGCATATAGACCCCCACCTGACACACAGAAAACGCTCAGCGTGTTTGAGCTGGGTGGTCGGACCCTCAGATGACAGCCCTGCCCGTTCCCAGACGAGAGCCTGACTGCATGTGCACACACATGGGGTCATACCCACCACCTGGCTCTCGGCGCTACTTGTGTCCCCAGGATGTGTGACGCTGGGGAAGGGCTCTACACCTTCCAGACGCAGGATGGGGAACAGATTTACCAGCGGGTCCACAGTGCCACCCTGGCCATCGCCGAGCAGCACAAGAGGGTCCTGCTGGAAATGGAGAAGAACGTGAGGGTGAGGCAGTGCGTGTCTCGGTCCAGGGTAGGGGGAGGCTGGCGGGCGGGCCGGGGGCCGGGAGAGTGGCAGCTGTCTCCAGCTGGTGTGTCCAGGAGAGGCAGGCAGGGTCTTGGGCTGGCTGCTCTGGGCTTAGCCACTGACCCTTCTCTGCCCCACAGCTGCTGAACAAGGGCACGGAACATTACTCATACCCCTGCACGCCCACGACCATGCTGCCCCGCAGTGCCTACTGGCACCACATCACCGGTTCCCAGAACATCGCTGAGGCCTCCAGCTATGCCGGTGAGTCACTGCTGGGCCCCACCCGCACCGGCCAGGAGGCTCTGTGGAGGACAAGGCATGTTGGGCAGGGGCCTTCTGTCCCGGGCCCAAGGCCTCAGCCTGCCTGTGTGTCCACAGGTGAGGGGTATGGGACGGCCCAGGCCAGCTCAGAAACGGACCTCCTCAACAGATTCATCCTGCTAAAGCCAAAGCCCAGCCAGGGGGGCAGCAGCGAGGCCAAGGCCCCTTCCCAGTGACGGCAGAGCTGGCACACAGACGACCACTGGGGCTGCCTGCAGCGCGTCACGGATGGCATGGAGGGGCTATGGGCCAAGAGCCTGGGGAAAGGGAGCAAGCGGTCCCTTCTTTGCCCCCGAGGGTGAGCCTGGACCAAGGCAAAGGGCTGGCCATGCCACCTGAGCATGTGTGAGGGGCTGGAGCTACCATGGGACTACATACTGTTAATGATTTTAATATATATGGCTTATGATGTATTCTGTATTAATAAGATTCCCCCTCTGACCCTCCCTGCCACCACATACACAGTTTTTAATCCCATGACCAGGCCACAGTCAAGGCTGTTTTGAATGTGAGGGCAGCGGTTTCCCTGTCCCCCATGGTACCAGCCCTCCTGCTGCCAGGACCCGAGCTGCCAGGGCCAGAGGAGGGAGACACTCCACACTCCCGGCTGCCGCGCTGGCTGCTGGCTTTTCCCAAGCAGCCCAGGGGCGGAGACAGCAGGTGGCTTCTCAGTTCCTCTGGGCCTAGAGTGGCACAGGAAGGATCCGAACTTACACTGTGCCACTTGGTAGCCTTGCACTTGGAGTTTTCAGCAGAGGTGACGTCTGGTTGACACCTCAGGTGAAAAATCTGGCTTGAAAATGGTTTCTGCCCAGACTCCTTCATGCTTAGCAGGCTGAGGAGACGCCCTGGGGGTGGGGGGTGCTGGTTACCTCGCCCAGGGAGGACAGCCAGTCCCGGGCTCTTTCCTGCCCTCGGGCCAGGCCGGCCGCACAGGAGGACTGCGGTGAGGGGGAGTGGGGAAGCGCCCTGCTGCCCGCTCTCAGTGACCGGCGTGGGCAGTGCTCCCACAGAGGGAGCCCCTCTGCCCTGTCTGGCCTCCCTCCGGCAGCCAAAGTACTCAGAAGCTGGTCAGAGACCTCCCCATTTCCTCCTCCACATGGTGCTGAGGCTCCCTGCTGAAATGCAATTAAAGCAACTGATTTTCTAGTGCTGGTATTTACTGACGATTGTGCAGAAGGGCTATCTTTTTACTCACATCAAACCTTTAGTTGCGTGTGTGTTGGGTTGTTTTTAATATTTGAGGGTTCTGATTTGCGGGAACAGACCTTCTTGTAAATAGCCGTTATTCCAGTCGTGGCAGGAGGATGCTAAAGCAAGAGGCCCCCCCGACAGAGCCCTGCAGCCCGGGGGCGGCCACAGCCCGCTCAGCTCCGACCCCGACCCAGGGAATGACCGCCTAGAGGAATAAGCTAGCCTGAAGGAGGGAGCCCTAAGGCCACGGAGGGGCGGCAGAGCTGGCTGGCTTGGTTAGTGGCACGATGACGCATGAAGGCGATTACGTACGTTTTGCTCTTTATTGCCAAAAATAAAAACTTTAAAAGACAACTACCGTTAATAAATAACCCTTCCTTTTTGTACTAGATCTCTGGTTTTCTCCAGGCTTCTCCTGCCTGGCTGCCTAATGAACTGCTTTGGGTATGTTCCTACCTATAGGGCTAAGTGGTCAAGGCCAGACCTCCATGAAGGCCCTTGCCCTCCCCCACAAATTAAATAGCCTGGCCATTGTTGGTGATGTTCAAAACTCATGGGTAGAGAACAAAATACAAGGCTTACTGGCGGGAAGAGGGGGATAGCCTGGGCCTAACACTACTCTCACAGGATTCTCAAATTAGGGACACTTGGGAATTTGAGTGAAGAACCAATAGACTGGCCGGGGCAGGGACTGGAAGGGCTGGCAGGAGCCTGAGTAGGGTCCTAGATTCAGCGCTAACACAGAAGCCTAAGGTGCAACAGTGAACATTCCAACTTGTGAACAGAAAGGATTTGAAGTAAAGAACTGAAATACCCAGAAGATGAGAGTTCAGCTCAGTGGTTCTCAACAGGGGAATGCCGTGGCCCCCTGAGGCACACTGAATACAGGGCAGAAGGGATGTTCCGGGCAGCACTACTGCCCATCAGCAGGCAGGGCCGGGGACGCTAAATGTCTGGGAAGGGACCGTCCTGCCTCCAACAGCAGTGCTGGCCCTGGTAATCTGTGACTGCGCAAGGCTGGGATGGACCTACCCTTCCCCGCTGCTACCTTTCTAATTGGTACTGAAGACTTGCCAGGAAGCTTGAGCAACAGCTGTCCAGTCCCCAGGAGCCAAGATCTGGAGTCTCAGGAGAGACCTAAAATTCAACTGCTGTTCTGCTGAAACAGGTGAGCTGCAGCTAGTTTATGGTCAGGACGTCACTCTGGATCTCGTGGCTTAACTGGGTCTGTAAATCACTCAGCTTCTTCTTTAATCCAGACAGGGCTGACAGGACAATGGTTTCAGGGCGCAGAGAGCCACAGGACTCCACGTTGTAGTAAAACCTGAGAGGCAAGAGTCTGGTGAGAGCCCTCCATGAGGCTCTCATGAGCTATGGACACAGGCCCGCCTCCCTCCTGGGTCCTGACTCCTTTCTCCCCATGAACTCGACCTTGCCCCAGGGTTGACCTCCATCCAACCTCTTACAAACAGTGGTCCCAGGGCACTTTGCAGGACCTCGAGGAGGCCACGGCTACCTCAGAACAATATCTCAAAACACCTGTGTATGGATGTATTCTACACTGGGGGTAAGAGAACGATAAGTAAGCATGTCACCTGCTCCAGCACTTTCATGTTCGTCACTAGAAGGCTCTGGTCACTTTGGGGCCCTAGGTTTGATCCTAGGTTGACCTTTCTTTGGGAGCTGAAAAATCAGACTAGGAACAGTCTGGATAACTGGAGGGCCCCCCTTCCCCCAGCGACCAAAGGGGGATGATAATCTGCCTGGATGTGCACATATGCTAGGTGCAGCAGTTACCAGCCCCTCCTCAGCTGAGGGGAACTGGGATGGGCGGGAAAGGGCCTCCCTAACTCAGAGGCTGCATCAGAACTGTACGTCCTTACACACGTTACCTTCAAGTGCCAGACCGGGCTCTTACCTCTCCGGCTTGCCGTTGGGGTCGTAGGGCGCCTGCGACTCATCCTCGTCCAGCTCTGAGTACTCACTCTTTGGCCTGAGATCAAACACAGATCAGCACAGGTTGCTACTGCCGCTTTGAGGGCACCTGTGTCTCACAGTGAGGCTGCCCCATCTCGGTCACCAGGAGCCATTTCCACACCCGCCCGCCCTGCCTGCCTTCGCTCCCAGCAGGAACATACCACTCCTCCGGCTTGGGGTACACCGTGTGCCTCAGGGCATTGTCGGGATCGTATTCAAAAGCCACGCCTGCAGTCGGGTTCCACTTGGCGTGTTCCTTGCCAAAGCCCTTTTTGGCGTAGGCTCGAAGCCTCAGCTCCTGGCCCTTTCTCAGCTTGACGATGAGAATGTCTGTGGGGAGATGTGAGTCAGTCGAGGGCCAGCAGAGGCACAGCTCTCCGCAGTCCGACCTGCAGCGCCACTGAAGGGCCGGGCAGCGCGAGAGCCTGGGTCTGGTGTCCGCCCCTCGGGCCCTTACCATCCTGCTCCACGTAGTCGTTGGGGTCATTATCTCGGCTCCGGGATGTCACCTGTAGGGGCCCAGACAGAGGCACTTATTAGCTGCTGCGCATCTCCCCACGCACCCCTTCTGGCACCCACCTTCCGGCACCTCCAGACCGCAACCTGCCGAGCCGAGGAAAGGATACCTGAGGAGGAGGTGGCAGAAGTGTCCACTAGGACCCCGTCTGTGCTGGTTACTGGCCTCTAACCCCTACCTCATGGCTCTGTGACAACCTCCCCAGTCAAAACAGTACCATGGCCTTTAAAAGGGTCCTTAGTGGACAGGGCCCACAGCACCAGTGCTTCTGCCCACACTGGCAAGAGTCCAGAATTATTAGCACTTCTAGGCATCAAGCTTAGGTTAAGGCAGAAGGTAACACAGGGAAAGTCGGTGTCTTGTAAGAATCCACCCTGATCTGGCCCACTTGGAGCCAGGAGAGCAAAGGTCCTGGGTAGGGAGGGCGTTCCTGACCGGAATGACCCGGGGGCTGTTGGAGATGAGGTCTCGAGACGTGACGTGACGCGTCTGGTCTTCGTTGCACCGCACGTCGAGGGTGAACTCCACCGAGCACTCGGGGCAGAACTCTTCACACGTACAGTCCTGAGGCAGGAAGAGAGGCAGGAGTGAGTCTGCGGAGAGATGGCAAATCCTGGCTTGGCTCCCCGCTTCTAATACCCTGTTCCTTAAGGTTCTTCATCTGGGAGAGGGTGGATCACAGCCTCCAGGCTCTCGTGGGCTGTGTCCATCTGCCCACCACTCAGGCTGCTCAAGGGCAGGCGCATCCCAGCTCAGAGACCGCCTATACGCTGGCGTCCACGTGTCCTTCCCACCCCTCGCTGCCAGGCCACCACTGGGAGACACACTAACATCTCACCCTGGCTCCGGAGCGCTCTTCCTCAGAGAACCAAGGCGGTAAGAAGGAAGAGGCTTTCACACTGCATAGTTCAGCGTCCCCTGAGCTAAGTGGACTAGGCTGGGAATGCAATTGCCATTTAAAATAAAACAATCCAGGGAACAATAGAAAAAAGTACATTTTAAATTCCAGACTACTGACCTTTTCTTTAAAAATTTCATATGGAAACTTTTTCACAAAAGCAGAGAAGAGTGTGAGAGACTGCCACAATGTAAGCATCACTTGGCTTCAATAATTCTCACATTTGCCATTCTTTAAACTGATTCTTGAAACACTCCCGTATTAGAGATTAGCTGCTACCGTTTAACTTCAGGCAAGACGAGAGTCAACTAGAATGTAATCAAGCAAACTGTTCTCCCCCTCACGCCAGTGAGGAAAATCCAACCTATTTTCGATGTTTTCAAGACAATGAGGAAGATCTAGGGGCCATACCTGGATAGTCTGCAATCATACACAGGTGAGACAGGAAGGCAACCTAGACCCTTGAGACTGAATCACTCACAAATATGAAATTAAAGAAGCAAAATGTAATGGAAGACAAAAATATGAAAAGGTACTTAACCTCAAAAAAAAAAATAATGAAAAGAGAGGAGTCTGTTCAAGAGATCAAGAGACTAAAGAGGTATAACAACTGAATGCAATGCATGAATGACAGACCCACAAACAAAAAACAATTAAGGGGAATTCCCTGGCGGTCCAGTGCTTAGGACTCCTCGCTTTCACTGCCAAGGGCGCGGGTTCAATCCCTGGTCAGGGAACTAAGATCCCGCAAGCTGCGTGGTGCAGCCAAACAAAAAAACCGTTAAGGACATTTTGAGGATAACTAGGAAAATCTGAATTTAGACTGTAGATAGATAGTACAAATCATGGCTAATTTTCCTAGGCATGATAAGTGCGGCTATGTAGGAAAATATCCTTATTTTTAGGACATGCATGCTGATGTAGCTCGGGGGAGAAATGTCATGATTTCTGCAACGTTCTTTCAGATCGTTCAGCAAAAATCACATCTATATGAAACACAAAGCAAATATAGCAAAATATCAACAACTGGAAATTACAGGTGAAAAGACAATGAGTATTTATTCTACTTTTCACTTTTCTGAAGATTTTCAGAAAAAAAAAACCCCAAAAAATCCATACCATCTTTGCTCAGTAAATGCAATACTAGAAACAAATTTAACGGAAGGAACTGTTAGGTCATGGGGAATGCATATCTTTATATAAGATACTGACTAACTGGTCTTCAACTGGTTGTACAACTGTCTTCACCAATATATGTGATGTTTTATTTCTTAAAAACAGACTCTGGAGACATGGAGCAAAATGGTGAAATGTTAGAATGTGACAACCGGTTTGGTGGGAGCATGCCTATTTGTTATATTGGCTCCACACTTTGCTGTGTGCTTGAACAGTTCTTTTAAAAAACACATATAAATTTACAAAATATATCAAATTAGCCACCATAAAAATGACATGCCCTCGGGAATATTAGAAAATGGGCTGATTCAGGATCACCTACAGCCATCAAGAAGGAATAGTCTCGAGCTGTTACCTAATGCAGCTCTGCTGAAAGGATGCAGGTAACCTAATCCTGTCCTACACTCTCCCTAGTTCTAAGTCTGTTGACGTGTCATGCAAGTGCAAACCTGGCCCTAGAGGCAGGGAGCCGTGTTGAACTAGCAGAACTTACGGGGTGAGGCACAGACCTGCAGACACCAGTACCCCAGTCACTCAGGTGCTGCTCGGTGGGACAGCTCTCACTCCCTCTGCTCCTTCTCCTCACCCTCTAACCTCTGTCGACTTCCTTTAGCCTCCTAGGCCCCTGTCCCTGGGAAGAGATGCTCTGGAAAGCAGAGTCTGAAGAGGAACAGCCCCACCCGTTCCGAATAATTGGGCATCCAGGAGTATGCCCCCTCTTATGTGGCTGGCTAATGAGACTCCCCGATGCCCCTTGAGACTAATCAATCTGAGGTCCATCAGAAC